AGTGTTGAACATCTGAGTTGTAGACATTTAAATGTGGTCAAAGAACCGTCTCTTGATTGATTGATTATTTATTTAACAACATCTCACTTCGAGACTACACCAAGGATATTGGCAAAGAGCCTCGGTGAAATACACTGCTGGACAATTGCTAAGGACGGATCACAAATTGATATGTAGCATAACATTAAGCGAGACATGAGGCCTAGTAGGATAAAATATAGTTGCCACACTGTTCAGACATTAGAATAAAGAATATTTATTGTTCTGGAAAGTACAAAAGCTGTGAAACATCTGAAAGAAAAAAATGTTCATTTGATCTGCGTACGGAGAAATGGAACAATGCATCTAAAAGTCAGCAGGCACCTTAAAGAAAGGTATCAGTACGGGATATGTCCACCGTGGAGTGTGATGCAACATTCCACACGTCGTACCATACTTTGCACAACATTATCCAGCAGCTGTTGAGGCAATTTATCCCATTCCTCTGTGAGTGCACGGATGAGGGTGTTCTTGTTTGTCGGAGGATAGTTTCGACCAGCAACTTGCCTCTCCAAAGCATCCCACACATTTTCAACGGGGTTTATATCTGGAGAACGCGCTGGCCATACGAGACGTTGAATACCCTCGCTGTCTAGACAAACCTGAACAGCGAGTGTTTGATGACATGTTGCGTTGTCGTCCATAAAAACAAATTTATCACCGACAGCACCACGGAAAAGACGAACATGAGGAAGTAGAACTTCATCAATGTATCGTTGGCCCGTCATAGTCCCATTCGCAAAGACATGTAGGCGCGTGCGGCCATTGATCATGATGACGGCCCACACCATGATACTGCATGTCGGATATCGGTCCTTTTCCTGGATATTTTCTGGACGATAAGCAGTATCACTCTCGCGCCAGATCAGTTGGCGTCTACAATCCGATGACAGACTGAACCTACTCTCATCTGAGAACAGTACGCATGCCTAGTCCTATTCAGTCCAATTGTGATGCTCACGACACCATTGCAAACGGGCAGTACGGTGCTGTCTGGTCAATGGGACACACACAACAGGTCTGCGTGCGTATAGTCCTCCTCCTCCCCTCAAACGTCTGGCAACAGTTTTTCGGGAGATCTGCTTTCATGAGGCAGCAAGAAACTGATTTGCCACCTGCTGAGCTGTGGTGCGCCTGTTCCTTTTTGCTGATAGGACGATATATCTGTTTTCTGCAGGCGTCGTACTTCTAACACGACCTCCCCCGTGCCATCTACTACACATTCCAGTAGTTTTAAATGACTTCCACAGCCGTGAAACAACGCTGTGAGCGATGTCGAACTCCCTGGCAACATCTGTTATTTTTCGCCCTTCTTCGATCTTTCCAATAATTCGGCCACGCATAAAATCATCTATGTGATGTCGGGAAGACATGCGAAAAATGTTAAGTTCGTCTATTAAATCTTTCCTGTAAAACTTTGACTTGAAACAACAACTGTCCACACGCGTCAAAACCTTTAAAGCTCTTATGAACGCTATCACGTGATGAACAGACGTGGAAAAAAAATTTGCATACTCATACTTCTTACTAATATCCCGCACTTATTCTAATTTTTCACATTTTGCTTCCTTTCATTGTGTGGTTGCTATGGATGATAGTGTTATCCGTCCTTAGCAATTGCCCAGCAGTATATGATCTTGTGAAGAAAACACCCGAGTTGGCATCTGATTCTCCAAACTTCCCCACCACACCAACATGTACATCAGCACTTTGACACAAATGGTCTTTGGCGTGAGTGAGTGTTAATTAACGTAGCACTCTAAAGCTACACGAAAGCTATTGGCAAAATACCCAAAAGAGGTTTAGAGTTACAAACCGGTTCCCCGGTAAACAACTACCCCTGCCTTCAGTCTTTATTGAAAAAAAAATATATTATTTAAAATTTTTATAGAAGTACACAAATCAAAGGCAAAGTCACAATACACATATATATAACCACATAATACAAATTATAGATATATTCGCATCACACATGCAAAATAACAAACAAGTAACATGAAAAGTTTTTAAGTCAATTCCTACTTATAGATCAACAAAGAAAAATTTTATTTTTGCTACTTTTTATTAAATAGTTACAATTAATATAAATATGCATATTCATATGACACAATCAGAACATTAAGTGGTGATTAATTTTTATTAATTATCATTAAAGTATCGTATTGTCTTCCAAAACAATCGTGCATATAAAATTTCAGTTCAACTGAATGCTTTAAAATGTAAGAAAAAAAACCTTTCCAAGGTTTGACACAAGTCAGCAAAAGGGTCGCTAAGTCGCCGAAAAAGATACCAACGTGGCTGTATAATTCTTTAAATAAATAGTTTTAATCAATTAATTTTTATTAATTGTAAGTAAATTATTGTATTGTCATCCAAAATAATCATGTATATAAAATTTCAGCTCAAATGTGCGCTTTAAAATGTATTTACTTAACGATTGAAAAATCCACCAAGATAAATAAATAAATATACATATAGAGGGAGAGCGTGACCTAATAGTAGGAATTGAAAATGAAAGATAAAAAATCACGATATACATAAATAATAACACAACACGAATTATATACATATAAAGGCAAATATACAATACACAATCACACAATATAAATGTACAAAGCCAAGAATAATAATTATAAAAATAATAATTAAAAAAAGAACACATACACACGAGTATATAAGGCAAGAAATGTGGGGAAAAATATCATTCCAGCAATCGCAAGTGCATCAAAAACAACAATAATCTCCAGCTGACGCCACATTTCTTGATGATACTCATTCGCCTCAATTTATCCTTCTGTTTTAAAAAAAATGAATCAGTAACTTTTAAGGAAGACGATTCATATTAGAACCTTCCTTTTATTTTAACAAAGTAAAAAATTAACCGAAAAAAAATTTTGGTATTTTATCGGCGATATATTTTGCTATATTTTGAAATAAGAATTTAACTTCATATAAATATTCGTATTGTTAACTGAAGAGCTAAACCATAATTTACAGGATATATCAGTGGGTTCAGTAAGGTGATAATTTTTGGTGAAACTGTGCAATGGAACTCAAAGTGATCCACATCTCCGATGAAATTACAGAGACAATTGAGGTTAGCTTTTAATTTAAATCTATGCAAATAATATAGGAACGGGCAATGGTTAGTTAAAAACTGAACAATGGGCCTGAGATAAGGTAAATACTAATATTAGGGGTCGTTAAGTATTTTTGACCGGTATTAAAATTAGCCCATAAATTCTCCCATTCTTCAATTTTTTAGTATTTTTAAGAGATAAGAGCGAGGGAATATACCTCTTCGCCATCTGAAGTGGCAAGTTTAGCACATCAATCCGCAATGTCGTTGTGATAATTTTGATAATAGGCTTTAACCCAAAAAATGTAAAAATTTTGGTGTTGTTACTTATGCCACTTGATCGACAGTAACATCGGATCAAGGTCCACGGAATTCATCGCACATTTTTACGCCTGTTGTTAGCTTTAGCTTTGAGCACCATTCAGGTGACAGTATGATTTTGCTCGGTTCCGCCCCAATTTTGAAGAAGAACACCCTAGGGGTGGCCAGGGGCTTCCCACCTCTCGTCTCCTTCCATTAACCTCACGAGAGGACTTGCGGCTCGACGGCTATTTAAAGTACCTCCATGCCGCGAAGGCGCCATACATTTACAAACATACATGCCTTCTCCGGGATTCGAACCCAGTCCTTACGGCACCGCAGTCAGTGTCACTAACCACTATACCGGATGAGTGGCGCTGTAAAAATTTTGGTGTATAAAAAGTTTATTTTTAATTAAATTTAAATAGAAGGATTTGTTTATATTAAATTATGAAAGAGGGAAACTGAAGATAGAATTCATATTTATACGGACAGTCTAATATTAGTATGAGCTGCTGCCCAATAGACAGAGAACCTAATTGCGGATATCTACCTGAAAGACAGTGTTGTAGGTTTTGAGTTTCAAAGGATAAGTGTTAAGGATTCCCCAGAAAAAGATACAGACAGAGAAACCAGTGTCAAAATTGGTCCTGAATCCGCTTGTATGCACCTCCCCTTTCGAGGGCCCTTCCAAAAAATTGTAAGAAATTAGTCTGGGAATAGAACTAATATTATGAAGCAGAATATTACAATCGATATTTTACAAGTGAATGAGAGCTATTGGTGACGGACCTAGTAATTTTGCACCATGGTTAAGCGATGAGGACGACACCTGAGCTGCCACACCTCTCGCCGAACTTCCATACAACGCAAACGGGAGAGTTTCCAACCTCGATAGAGTTAACGTGCATCAGCCTATCAACACAGCGAGTCTTCAGCGACATCAAACTCGAACTCATTGACACGCCGGCCACGATTCCGTGACCATGACCACTTAGCTACCGCGACGATGGGTCTTTTGTGGACTCGGCCACCAAAGTATCTCGCAGGAAAAGATTCGGAAAGCGGACCCGAAACTTCGAAGAGATTATTACTATTAAGACATTGCAAGACAAAAAGAGAATGGAAAATTTAAATATAATATTTATTTAATTGAGTCAGGTCCACGGATATAATTTATTTTGGTGCTCATTTATTCAAAAATTAAATAAAATAGTTCGGCATAAAAAGTGCAATGTTTTTTGTTCATTTAAATGACTCAACGTCACTCATTTTAACCCTTTTGATTCTGTGAAAACATAGCTTAAACAAGTAATTTTTTAAAAAAATCAAGTCAAATCCTGCTTAAGTCAACAAAGAAAAATTTTATTTTAGTAACTATTTATTAAATAATTACAATTAATATAGATATGTATATACATATGACAAAATCCCAATACTAAGTGGCAAAATAGAAAGCAATTTTCCATTTTTCTTTCTATATAGGGTGTTGGACTATTGGGTTTGTTTGTTCCTTAATTAAATTTAATTACTCCAAAAAATATTATTGTAAAAAGAAATCACATTCTCACAGAAATTGAGCCATCTCAGGTGGGATTTGAACCCACGACCTTTGGATTAGAAGTCCAACGCTCTCTATCCCTTGCGCTACAGAGACACAACGAGCGATTTTCCTTTTTATATATGGTGTTGGACAATTATTTTTTATTTGTTACAATTTATTCATTAATTAAATTTAATTTTTGAATTAGCATTTGAAAAAACTGTATTAACATCAAATGTCATCCACTGCAATTTTAAAAAAAAATGTATTTGAATGGATAAATAGAAAGTATTTTATTAACGATTGAAAATTTGAACTAGATATATATATATATATATATATATATATATAGAGAGAGAGAGAGAGAGAGAGAGAGAGAGAGAATGAACTAATAGTAGGAAATGAAAAGGGGGGGGAGATAATACATAGTGAAAATTGTTAATTAGGTTTAACACGTGATCAGAAATAAAATTACTGTAGCCTAAGTCTTGTTTACATTTTCAAATCTAAAAAACAAGGTTAAGGTCTCCTTGTCAGTCAAAACATTTTCCGGGCTACATTAAGAATGCAGCTTCTAAAACGCAATATTGTTTTGTTTGCAAGTAAGATGAGTAGATATGTATATTTGGCTTAGAACTTCTAAGATGGCCCCCAAAACTTCAACAACAACTTCATTTAATGTTCTTTCAAGAAATACCGATGGAATTAATAATAATAATTTCACTCTCTTGTTGAAAGAATCTGACCTTGTGCTACAGAAAAAACTCTTGAGAATCGAAACAATTATCATTCATGACAAAACACATTTTTTTGGCGGAAAACTTTCTTTAAAAAAAATGTCGAACGCCAGAAAACAATAAATACATGTTGTTGCTAATTTTTTTGTACGATCTTAAATTAATCTGTTTAAAAAAAGCATTTTGGATTTTTTTTTTATACAAAATAAAGGAAACTCTGCTACGACTACACATGGCGATATTTTGCAACATGTTTGAGTGACATCTTTTGTACGCGGTAAATTATGGCAATGGAAGTGTAAAGCAGTGTGCGGAAAAGAATCTGGAACGCCCGCGGAATGGCATGGATAATTTGAAGTGAAAAGAGAAAATTATTCTTTCGGGTTCGCTTTCCTGCATCGGTATTCGGAACACGAAAGTCGGAACTTGTATTGCTTGACTCTCGTGTGTGGCGGCATATTTCTTCCAGTTTAGAAAAAAAAAGAACGAATTTGCGTGGTACCTTTTTAGGGAAGAGAGATCTTTAGTATTAAATATTTTTCAAAAAAGAAGAAAGAACTTCACGAAAAAGTTTTGATTCAAGTAAAAATATGTTTGCGAACGCCATTTTGATTTATATGTCGCAGGAAAATGATGAAATTATGACTTTCATCGAATCCCTAAGGGAGATAATCAATTCACGCAAGATGTTAAAATAACGTCTCTTTGAGGTCATTTCCCTTATGTAAGTAAGTGATTTGATCAAATCCCCGAACTGTTTTAGTGAAATGATGAAATGAACAAGTCAGCCATTTTTTAAAGATATGGGGTTGATATTTAGGGGATCCATAGTACTACCTGTATGGTTAGGAAGAACAAGGACTCCACCCTTAGGTGTCTTCCCCCTGGACAGCATTTTGCCAATGCAAATCCTGACTAGTTCATTTCACTGAAACAGTTCAGGGTTTGATAAAATTACTTTCAATATGGAAATGACCTTGAAGAGACATTTTAACATCTCCCGTCAATTGATCCGATCCCTTAGGTATAATGTGAAATCCCTAAGGGATAGGGAGTGGAGAGACACCTGGGGGTCGATTTCTTGTACTTCCTAACCATACAGATAGTAAAGGGTGTTTTTTTGAGAGGTATAGAACTTTAAATTGCAATAAAACAACGATGTATTATTCGATTGACATGAATTTTTTTTATTCAAAAGATAATCTTGTGGCATTACATTTGAAATATGATTTCTGGCATAGGACTGCCACGGCTGGCTCAGATGTAGTCCAATCTGGACGTCCAATTTTCGACGACTTTTTCCAACATTTGTGGCCGTATATCGGCAATAACACGGCGAATGTTGTCTTCCAAATGGTCAAGCGTTTGTGACTTATCCGCATAGATCAATGACTTTACATAGCCCCACAGAAAATAGTCTAGCGGTGTTAAATCACAAGATCTTGGAGGACAATTCACAGGTCGAAAACGTGAAATTAGGCGGTCACCAAACGTGTCTTTCAACAAATGGATTGTGGCACGAGCTGTGTGACATATTGCGCCGTCTTGTTGGAACCACAGCTCCTGGAGATCATGATTGTTCAATTCAGGAATGAAAAAGTTAGTAATCGTGGCTCTATACCGATCACCATTGACTGTAACGTTGTGGCCTTCATCGTTTTTGAAGGAGGATTCTACCATCCCATAAAGCGCACCAAACAGTCAGTTTTTCTGGATGTAACGGTGTTTCGACATACACTTGTGGATTAGCTTCACTCCAAATGCGGCAGTTTTGTTTGTTGACGTAGCCATTCAACCAGAAGTGCGCTTCATCGCTAAACAACATTCGCTTATGAAAATCGACCATTAGTTTCGAAATAAAATTGCACAATTTGAAAGCGTTGTTCAGGCGTGAGTCTATTCATGATGAATTGCCAAACCAAACTGAGAATAAATCACTTGACAGCTGTTAAATCGGTTGCCATCTTGGAAAGTAATGCCAACTTAAACTTCTATACCTGGAAAAAAAACACTCTGTACTATCGATCATCTAAAAATATCAACCCCATATCTTTAAAAAGAATGGCTGACTTGTTCATTCCATCATTTCACTAAAACAGTTCGGTGATTTGATCAAATCACTTACTTACATAAGGGAAATGACCTCAAAGACACGTTATTTTAACATCTTGCGTGAATCAATCATCAATCTCCCTTAGGGATTCGATGAAAGTCCTAGTTCCATCATTTTCCTTCAACATATATATATGTACGTATGATGCTTTTCTGATGTATTTTTTAAGCTACAGGCGGGGATTCCCAAACTTTTCACAACATCGATTCCTTGTAAAGAAAAATTTTCTTCATAGACCCCTCTTACGTTTATCTCAATATATTGTAAAGAAAATAATATAAGGCTAATAACTGCGCAAAAAAGTTGAAGATAACAATTTATTTAAGAATATGAACAGAAAATTAAATTATTTGATTTATGTTTTAATCCAACGAGAGCTTGAATTAAAATTAATTCAAGCTCTCGTAGGTAGCGTCGGTCCAAATTCTGTACCGAGAGCCGCCACTAGATAGTGCTACCACAAAATGGCTCTCATATTTGGGGATTTTATGCAGCCCATTGGGGGGGAGGGGTTATGTTTTATCTTTTATGGTAAGAGGGGGTGAGTGTTTATTAATGTCACTCTATGAGACAACACGAGAGCTATTATCGGAATACCCAAAAGAACCGAGCTCACCCAAAAAGGGTTTAGAGCTACAAACCGATCCCTCGGTAAACAATCATCCCCACATCCAGCCTTTATTGGGAAAAAAAATCAAAGTTTACATTTTAAACAATAGAAGACAGTAAAATCACAAAATACAAACTGTAACAATTACATTTAAACTCTGCCTTCCCTTGACCATTAGCGACAGCCAGGTCAAGCTTAATCTATATTATCTATCTTTTGAGAAGAGGGAACTCGTTTTCCTCTCTTCTGCCCAGGATCGCCCCCGGAGAAGGACGCGTACACGTGGAGTCAGGGAATCCTGGTTCCCTCCTTTAGTCCATAAGCTATTTTCTGTTCCTGTAATAGATGTGTGATGTTTATTAAATGACCCCTTGTGTTGTGGAACGTAAGAAAATTAAATAAGATTTGTTCCCGTACCTCAAAGCTTTATTTAACACAACGAAGACACGACATGGGGGATTGTCTTAAAACTTAAAGGTAATTGGATGGACAATATACATACGTGTGCGTGAATTTAATACAAATATACAAAGCAAATATAATAATAATAATAACATAAAGAGTATAAGCAATGGAAGAAAGAATATATATATCCCAACTTTCTTACAAATTCATAGAAAAAATAAAATTATCCAATAATAAAGCTATTAGTGATGGATCTTGTAATTTTGGACCATAGTTAAGCGACGAGGACGACACCTGAGCTTGCACCTCCCTCTCCTGACTTCTACACCACGCCAACGGGAGGATGTTTGAGGTTCGACATATTTTACCTGCATTACTGCCCTCTACATGGCGGAGCCTCAGTGGTACGAGGCTCGAACTCATGACAGTGCAGCCTCGAGTCCGTTACCTTACCTTGACCACTAGGCTACCGGAGCCACACCCCAATGTTGAGGGACTGATCGATGCCCGTTAAATCTATCGAGGCTTAAAATAATCTCGTTGGTGTGGCGTGGAAGATAGGAAAGTGGAGCGCTAGATCAAGTATTGTTCTCTTTACTTGACTGCGGTTCAAAATTACGAGGTCCCCCGCCAATCGCTCCCGTTTTGCTTTGAGTGAATGTTTTATTAACATCGCACAATAAACAACTCTATGGATATTGGGGACGGACCTCGTAATTTTGAACTACGGTGCAGTGTCGAAGATGACCTGACCTTAAACACTCACTCGGAAAGTAACAATGGGCATCTTGAAGAGTAATCAATTCAATAAAATTAATGATAAATGAAATAACTACGAATAACAGCAAACCTCACATCGTGATATAAGGGGGGAGGGGGTCAGCTGAGAAGAATTTGAACAGTTGGTTAACAAGCAGGTGCGAAGAAAATTAAGTTGAGTTTTAAAGCCCCCAACGTCTTCATTAACGAATTTAGAAAGCTTCCTTTAGAAAATGACGACATTAATGAACTTAGAAAGCTTTCTTAAAGGAATTTAGAACAACTTCGTTGTGTTAAAATTCGATTAGCACTGGATGGGATTTGGTTAATTGTCTAAGATAAATGATGCAAGAAAACGAATCAACTTATGACAATATTAATTTTTTTTACAGAAAATCAAACTGTAAAATTATCTTATAGAGCAGAGGTTCCCAAACTTTTTTGTCTCATAGACCTCTTGCCGTGTTTTCAGGTTTCGGTGTAGACCCCT